CTCAAGTCAGTGGACAGACCATGAAGTTGACGTAACGCACGGGAGGGCCTAGAGCACGGATAAACGGAGCCCCTGGTAAGGCGCGAACGATAGCAACTTATTGGTATGTAGTCAATGTTTTTTGGTAGAATTGAAAAATTAAATTGACCCACTTGTGAAAAACTTGGCGGGCTCCCGGTGGGGGTCTCATACATCAGTTGGCTAGAGCCTTGGCTGTACTTAGGCCTTTTTGTATGGGTTTTAATCCTACCGAGGCCGTCGAATTTTCACAAGTGACTATAACGAATTATTTAAACCTGCCTAAACCCCAACTAATGACTTGCGCCTGGTAGTCATCTGGTGGATTCTAGATTGATTGCTCAGGAAATCCTGCTAACTGTATCAGAATTGGCAGATTCCATACGCTGCAGTAGGCTGGGTGGGTAACTTTAATCAAATTTGATTAGACTCGTGGCTTCCGGCGGGGCTTCTTAACTCATTTGGCTGGAATGTTGATTGTACTAAAGCCTTCATCTTGCTGGCGTGGTTTCTAAATTAACTGAGGCCGCCGTGTTTTTACAAGTGAGTCAAATGAATTATTTCTATCTTGTATTCGGCCACTTTCTTGCGCTTTATGTTTCCCTGGTGGTGAAGACCTAGTCAAATGGGGAAACGAAAGTTCGTTCGTGATGATCAGCAGCTTGGCTCTGACTGGCGACACTGATTCTGTAGAAAGTAATGACGACGCCGACAGTCTAGATATTTGTGCGATGGCCAGCCCAAAACATGACTAAAATCTGCCCCGTTGGGCTGTAGACAGTATTTATTGAAATAAGAGTGTGCGATGCTTGGCAAACGGTAATATTTTGCGAACTCTCGTGTTGATCTCGGATAAGTTGGTCCTGTGAGTGTGGATGACCGGTGCTTGATGTTTCACCGGGTCTGACGCTTCAGTCGCTTAGCATTTCTTCCTTCGTCATAAACGCACTACCCTGACCACTCCCTTCAGCTGCCGAGTTTTATAGATGTGTAATTTTTGCAAACCTCCACACATATTATTCACACGTGAAGCACTGTTTCTTATGCTGTCAGCTATTATCGTTAAATTAAATTAAATTAAAATTGAGTGTTATCATTAAGAAAACGCTATACACATCTAATCCATTTTCTAGCATACTCGGCAGCTAATTCTTATTGGCGTATTTAGTAACTCCGCTCAGTATATCCCATAGTATGCATGATATGTACACGTGTACACACGTGTGTATCATGATGGATATATACATATATATTATACTACGATGCTTCGTTGCAACGTATTTACCACCTTATATAAGGCTAGATTATGTGATTTATATAGTTTTGCATTAAAGTATAAAAAGTATAACTCCTGAAGTGAATACTAAGTACTGTGGTTGCCGCAGAGAGCGGAGTGAACGGACGCGTCGGCGGCCGCGAAAGTTTACTTACTGGTTTTCTAACGGAAGTTAGCCATGGCTCTGTATGAAATCCGGAAATTAATCGAGACTGGACTTTAAAATATCCTGTGGTGAAATTTCTGGCACAAATCAGAGCTCGTGCAGGCCCTACGGCCCTCAACAGCTTCAGCGACATCGGAGATCGTGCACGAGGGAAAGCGCGACGACTGACGCACACCAATCGCAACTGGCCAATGAGAGACTAGATGGTTCTGGTTTTTCTAGATTTTACGGGTTTCTTCATACGCTCGGTGCAAAGCTGGTTAACGCGCTGGCATTTGCTTAAAAAAGGGATGCATGTGAGAAACCCAAGCGAAGCACTGTTGCATTTCGTTAAAGGGAAGAATTTATTTGACGTAACACGTCAAAAAGGACGGAATATTTTGGTTGCCTGCATAAAAATCTAGGACGTAATCGACTGATTGTAATGATCCTTATATGAGACGATTTCTGGAGGCATAATTCCCAACTTCAATTCAGGCAAGAAGTTCGCCTTCGATGCCTATAATTGTCAACTTGTGCAGGAGACGTTTGTGTGGATCACGGTCGAAGGCCTTCCGGAGATAAATGTAGGCCGCATGTACGATGTCTTTTGCATCGACTAACCCGGCCCAGTTTTGCTTCGTAACCAGCAAGTTCGTTACATATGATCTTCCTTTTCGAAAGCCATATTGCACATTATCCAATACATTGTGGGCTTTACAATAAGTCATCATGTAAGTTTTGAGCCTCTTCTCCATTACCTTGCAGCATATGGAGGTAAGACTGAAGGGTCTGTAGGTTTTCACAAGTTCACGACCACCGTTTTTGTGAGGCGATGTCATGTGGTCTGTTTCCCAATCTGGGGAAAAGCTTCCTGTGTCAAAAGATTGTTGTCATATAATGGATACCGGTTTTGCCAGCTCTCTAGCAAGTTCATAGAGCTGTTTTGCTGGAATCCAATCTGTGCTGTGTGATTTACATCCCTTCAAGCTTTCTAGTTTTTCATATTCGCTTCTTCGCCAAACAAAATATCCTGAATATTTGCGCTCCCATGGTCTCGTCATTGGGTGGAATGTAGGCGGTTTCTCTGATTAAAACTGACCGAAGGAACACAGAAATATGCTCGGCTTTGTTTCTTGTCCGATATCTCGAGACCTTCGTTATTTTTCATAAAGGAAATCGGGTTCCTGTTACAGGTGCTTTTTCTTAAGTAGCTGCAGAGCAACTTGCTATTTTTGACTGCTCGATGTAGTAATTCACTCTCAAAATCCCGTCATCTTTTGGAAACCAAATGTTTTACCTTGTTGCCCTGGGTTTTTATATTCTCTGAGAGTTTCACCATGGTTAGTTCCGCAAAACTTTTTCTAAAGCCTTCCTATCTTATTGCTCCCTCCTTTCAGATCTCTTTTTAGTCACTGGACACTGACAGCGGACGGTAACTTCGCACTAGATGCAATAACCGCTCCTTAAACAGACTCCAGTCTAATCACGGAGAAAAGAAGACCCCAGTCTATTTGCGATGCGTCTGCTCTCATATAGGAGAAGTCCCCTCACCATGTATTTAGCCTTGGTTTGTTTTTTGCAGGAGGTGCAGAATGTAGACCATATCTCTTTTGCGCACTTCAGTAAAAATGCGTCTGCATCAGCGTCTGTCCGCGATGGTTAATAGACGGACAGGGCCAAACAGCCTCCATACCGTCGGTTATCTTTTCAGTCCTCTCTCAAACAGTTAATTCGCTCTTTGAATAAATCGTTACTTCTCCACTCTGGCGTTCCATCCGGCCTCACCCAAATAATTGGTACCCAGATAATGCTACTTCGTAATCACTGATGGTCTGTGACAGCCATGTTTCTGTTATTACTATAACATCAGGAGACAGATGGGCTGCCTGTATTTGAATTTCAACGGAATTCGAGAATAGGCTCTTGGTATGCAGACATTTTAGTCGGTAATATTCTGTATTGCCTATTACATTTTGGCGTGAGTTCGCCAATACTGCTATGCCGCAGTCATCATAAATATTGGCTGCTCCAAGAGCAATATCGTGTTTTCTGTATAACTAATTCTCTGAAGATGGCCAGATTGCTCTCTCAAGCTGTTATTCTCCGCTTCATGTGCGTCACCAGTTAAAGG